TGGTGTTATATATAGACACAAAAAGTATTACGTACTAAGAAAACCTATTATTATTTTATTTATTTCATGCTAATTAAATATTAGAAACAAAAATTTTCTAAGTAACATTTAAATAATATTTTAAAAATATTTCCTTCTGCTCTGAATTATTTGCTATTCATTGATCAATGAAAATTCAGATAATATGTTCTAAAGTTTGTTCACATTTATTGAAAATAATATATTAGTAACTTTTTGGGTGTTAAGGTTGTTATATATAGGTACAAAAAGTATTATGTAATAAGAAAATTATTAATGACTTATTTGTTTCATGCTAATTAAATATTAGAAACAAATATTTTAAAAATAATATTTAAGAAATACTTGCTTTTGATCTGAAATATTTAGCAAACATATAAATATTTCCTAAATATGTATGTAATATTTTGTGCTATCTGGGAATAGTGTAACTGGATAACTCTGGCTAATTTCAAAAGCTATTTCTATCTGAATGTATCAAAGGCTATAAACTACCTGCGAAGAAACCACCAAAGATCGTCCAATAACATCTGATAGTCTCAAGACATTATCCTCAATCCGAAAGGCAGCCCTCCCATTTCGTTCTGCTGTTATTTGCCCCAAAGACCCATAATTTCTTTTGCCGGCGTAGCCCACTGGATTGAACAGCTTGCCGACACTTTCACAACCTGCAACCGTAAATAATGTAAGCTTAAACAAGTAACTGGGGCTGTTACAGTCAGCACACCTCTAGACAAATCCCCACATTCATGCACCTCAATGCTGTGCTCCCCAGGCACCAATCCATCAATGGTACCATCAATGATGCAGGTGTTTGGAGAGGCCTGAACAAACCGAACTACGCCTTTGATGCTTTCTTCTCCTGCTTCCAGGATTGAGACTGCTGCAATGCTTCCATCATACCCTATAGAAAACGAGGTTTCTAGTTCATGGTTCTACAGGGAAAGCTAGAAGGTACCCTTAATGGCAACCGGACGTCCTGTAGACTCTAGTTTTTTTTGCACCTCCAGAGTAGGAAGAATGCTATCCACAACTACGGAACCTTCCTTTAGATTCACTTCAACGTCGTTGACTCCTGGTACGTTTTGCAAACTCTGTTTCACAGCCTTTACGCAGGATTCGCAGGTCATTTGGACCAAAAACTGGATCTTTGTTGAAGTCATGGCGAAAACACTGGATATTCATAGGGTGACAATGTGGATTTTTGCTGTTAGAAGATAATAATTTCAGAAGGTCAACATTTGAACAAGTCAAAACAATTGGATCTAACCTTAAATGCCTGCATTCATGAGAAAGGAGATAGCTGTCAACTATAGAATAGGGCGTGCATTGGAAGTATACCCATGATAATTTTATTTTCTTTAATCTCATAAAAATCAATCGGAACATTTCTTGTAGAAGCAAAAACTATTTTAGGGAGTTTAAAAGTAACTATTAAATTTGCTATTTACAAAAAATATATATTCAATAATAATACTATCTTATACAATTTAATCATCATTCCAAGCATCATCATCATCATCATCAGTAGAAACACTGCTGCCCATATCGCTGCTTTTGGTAGGTGGAGGAATGATCGAAGACATTCTGGCAAATGCAGAGTCAGCCCCTCCCAGATGTCCCTGATCAGTCTGTTTAGACCCAGATATTCCTTTCCTCCTCATCTGCAGCTTCAGATGCAAATCTGCCATCAAGTCGCCCCCTTTGGGGGCACTAGCTTGGGACTGCTCATTCGTTTTCCGTAGAACCTTGGAGCCCCCAGCCTTCCTAATTGCATCCATCAGACTGGCTCTGGGGTCACTTTGGAGTGTTGGGACTGGCGGAGGCGGTTCCATGTGAACGGGCGGTGGCGGTGCCATGTGAACTGGCGGTTGAGGAACCGATGGGGGTTTATCTAAAAGTTAAAAAAAATTGTCAATTTAACAAGGGTTAATTCAATAATTTAAATAAAACATACCTGGTTGGGCAGTTTTTTGTGCTTCTACTGGCATCTGCTCTATCGGTGGTGGCAATGGAATATCTATTAAAGGTGGAGGTGGGGGCGGTGAAGGAACTTCCACTGCTGTAAAAGTGGAAATGTCTGGCAAATCCACATCTACCACTTGACTGCTGTTAACAGCCGATGGACTGATGATCGCAGCTTCAGAGCCTTCGACTTCATACCGAACATCGTCAGCTATGCCTGGCAGATTGGGCAAATCCCAAGGCACATCCAAGGCAGGTAATTGTTCGATTTTCGGAGTGTAAAAGTAACTGTCTTTATTCGCCTGCTGCATTGATGCTCTCTGGCTTATGGAAACGGGCGCAGCCCCTAGTTCTGAAGTAGCGTAATTGTCTTTCTGCCTGATAATCGTTGGGCTTTTGCAGTAGTCGTTAGGCTTGAAATCCTTATACACATTCTTGCCGGTGTTGAACAGCAACAGGTCGTTTACACAGCTGATATCATTTGGTACATCCCCGAGCCCTTCTGGCACTTGATTATTGTTCATCTCGGGCACTTTAACGTGGTAAAACTGCAACTTTGACACAGGCTCAAAGGTGGATACGCGCTTTCCATGGGGCACTTCATGTCGCACCCTTTCAACCGTGACGGGCTCCTTGAAAATGGACACATAGTCCCTATTGATATCCGCCGCCGGATACTTACTACTGGAAAATACGGTTTTCGCCTTCTTATCCCCTTTCAGATTGGCCACTTTGGCGGAGGCAGCATCTATTCGCTTGAATATGCTGGATAACTTTGCATTGTTCTCCTCCAACCTTTTGCCCACTCTGGAAAACACATCTTGGGTGATAGCGTCCAGATGATCGAGAATTTCCACCATTTGGACGATGGTTTCCTCTTTGCTTAAATTATGCGGGATAGTTTGAATTTTATAATGCGACATTGTTTTGCTCTATTGTTTACCACTACATCAAAGAGTTAGAAAATAAAAAAGCAAGGTTATGCCCATAGATGACGTCAAGTAGCAAGGTTATGCCAAGTGTTACTGTAGTGTGTTGCTGAATGTTGCAATTTTTATATCCTGATCAATTACGTGATCCCATCTAAGGTTAATAGTGTTTAAAAATTATTCAATCACAATCTAGAACGGGACTCAAATTCTTTAATAACCACCAGAGGAAAGTGTTTTCGCTAAATTAATTTATTCTGATTGGAAATCTGGCTACGCTGATGAACTGCCAAGGCCATGTTTGCTTTGTATTTGGAGGTTAGTTCTCCCATTGTTTGTAAATAGAGGCTTAAAATGCTGAAATGGACCCTCTAACTGAGCTTATCAACACATTATACCAACTGGTCATAGGCGTAAGACCCCAGGATGAAGACACCATGATAAAGAAGCACAGCAGATGCTTAGAAAAGCTGGGGGATGTGAGCTTGCCCCTTTCCAGCAAGGTCTGGCGCCATATCATCCAGAGGAGTGCAAGTCGGGAATTAGGGGCGCCTGGTTTAGTTCACCAGTTCGCTAGTGCTGATATAGACATCGCGTTGGGGCTATTTCAGGAATGCCTGCGTGGCTTGAAAGCCCAAATACGGACCCACAAGTGCATCAAGACTAGTGCCCACTTGTTCCTCGAACGGGCGCCCCTTTTCAACTATGCAGTTAAACGCGCTTTAGCTGAAGCTGGCCAGTATGGAAGGGTAAAACTATTCAATCAAGTAATTAGGATAACAACGGCAACCACAACCTATCAAACAGTTAGTGATCTAGATCAGGCAGATCTCACCACTTTGAGGCTCTCCATCCTAAAGGCCACTATAGAGAACTTGCTGAAACTCTCCACAAAGTCCGAGCCTGCAGACAGTGTGGTTGTTGCTCTGGTTAACAATGTTGAGGCTTCTACTGTTTCCAACGCCAGCATTCTGTGCGGACCAGTATTGAACGAGCAGGGAGTGAAAGATACTGAGCACACTGCCCGAGATTTCTTCCAAAAACGAGTAACCGACATGAGGCTGATGGCTCAGCATCGATACCGAGTGAACATACAATCAGCCCAAGAGTGGAAAGAGTTGTTCACCCATCTAGGCAGGGCTTCAGTCAGCGTAGAGCTGCTAAGCAACAAGCCTCAGAAGTCTGTGAAAGTTACTCTTGATAACTTGGGCAACTGTAACAAAGGGCCGGCTTTTATTTTCTATAACTGCGCCCGATTGTCCATTCTGCTCAAAGAGTTTGACCTCAAAGTCCAGCAAGGGACTTACCCAGATCTGCCAGCGCTGGACCAAATCGACTTTTCATTGCTGAAACAGCCAGAAGAATGGGAGCTGCTGTATGTCTATATTCTACAGTATCCACATATGGTACAGAGCTGCATTAAGGGCGTGGAGCTGGGCAATGTTAATCCACAGCATTTGGTATCGTTCCTATCGAATTTATCGTCGGTGTTCAGCATTTACTACCGAAGGGTGCGGATCTTGGTGGCACCAAGAGAGCATCTGTTTG